TTCGAGATGTCTTTGAAACATGTAAGTAGAGATGTCAAGTAGGCTGCTAGTGATACGAGATACACTCCCGGAGTAAGTTATGTTATTGAATCTTTGGACATGAGTGAAAATCCTGTAGGGAGAAAATATAGAGTGAAAGGAAAAGAAAGCTTAGAATTGAGCTTTAAGCATCACTAACAGTTAGTGGCTGGATAGAAGAGGATGAACCTGCAAAGAAGACAGAGGTGTAGACTCCAGGGAAGAGGAGGAAAAGCCAGGACCACGTGGTAGGACAGAAGTCAAGGGAAGAACATGTTTCCAGGAGGGCGAGATCAATAGTATGCTGTGTCTCGCAACAGTTAGTGGCTGGATAGAAGAGGATGAACCTGCAAAGAAGACAGAGGTGTAGACTCCAGAGAAGAGGAGGAAAAGCCAGGACCACGTGGTAGGACAGAAGTCAAGGGAAGAACATGTTTCCAGGAGGGCGAGATCAATAGTATGCTGTGTCTCGCGGACAGAAAAGCAAGATAAGAGCAAGAAAATGTTTGTAAGGTTGATGGATATGATGGTTATTGGATTTGACTTACAAAGCAATAAGATTTAACACCTTGGGAATATAGATTGATGAATCTAGAGTCAAACTAGTGACAAGAGATGAGAACCTAGACTAGATTTGCTGTGGTCAGATTGGAAATAGGAATAACCTGAAAAACACCACAAAGAACAATTGTCAGAACTGAGTAATGTGGAAGACAAAAGATGAGATCAAAGTTGGGAGAAGAGAGAACCGTGGTACCACTGTTGAAAACAGGCTGACAGAAACATTTAGTTAGTTTCTCAAAAACAGTTAATATGACCTAATTAGAAAGCCATAAATTATGTTCAAAGCTTTTAAAAAATACATTAACTTTTTTTGTGAAAACAATTTCTAAAATGCCATATAGGTAGAATAGCTATATGAGCTACTTGTACGACTAGAAGGCAGAAAGGTAGAAAGATAGGAAAAAGGATAGACATTTGTTTAGTCCCTACAGTGAATCAGAATTTTATGTATAGCTTTGTGTTCAGCTGCTTGGATGTATTTCCTTGACTAACTTGTAGAACCCCTAGTGATTGTTTACAACACTGATCAGAGATGGCTAGAAGAATGTATATTAATGCCTGCTGTGTCTTGCAATGAAAGTAATGCTTAACCTTTTCACTAAATGGCCTTTTTCATTACTTCCTTTACATCACTACGTACTGTAATTTACCCCAGTGACAGGTTTCCCAAATGTGAAACTTAAGTGATGAAAAGTGCTCACTGGTTGGGTTGCCCTGATTAAATAAAAATAATGTGAGGACTTTAGGCAATCCAGGTTAAAAACCAAGTTTTACCTCTGATGAAGTCTTTTGCAGAGCAGACATGGTTTCTTTGTCCTTTAAGCCTTAACCTCACATGGTATTTTTTCTAAGCCAAGATCTTTTTTCACCTAGCCTAGGAAAAAGGAACTGATAATCATACTCATTAGGGACATGATTCATTTCACTTTCTTAAGTCAGGCAGTGTAGGATGGTGTTAATGGGCCAGGCTATCTGGGTTCCATTCCTGCCTCTGTCACTTACTCTCTGTATGATTCAGGACAAGTTTCCTAACGTCTGTTTTTCTTGTTTTACTTATCTGTTAAATGGGGATACTTATGGCACCTACTGCATACAACTTTTAGAAGAGTTAAAGCAGTTAATACACATTAAGCCTTGGAACAGAGAGTATTTCATAAATATTAGCTTTATCAAAACTACAATTTTAAAAAGTTTTGTTAGAAATTAACATTATGCAGTTGATACAATCTTATTTTTTTAAACCCAAATTGAAATTTAATTGCAATCTATCAGGAAGAATTTAAATGTTACATATTATAGAGAAAATGCTGGGCCGGAACATTACATTCTGGTATGAAAGAAGAATGGAATTGCAGGTGCATTTTGCTAAATGGTACAGCTAATGAATCTCATACCCTAGTGAATTCCCTAGTGCTGTGAGATTTTATTCATTTACGGTCCGCTCCTTATTTATGCTGTATTTGTTCTTCTCTATTGGTCCTGTTCTTTGCAGTCAGATACCTCTGGAGACTATGAAATCACCCTCTTAAAGATCTGTGGAGGAGATGACTGAGTGAAGATGATCTCCAAAAGTCACCTGCTCCCATGACGAGCTCTTCCCAAGGCTCCGCTCATTTCTTTCCCACAATATTTAAAAGTGTAAGCAAGTGTAAACAGCAACCTGTTTTCCTCATAGAAATTTTTATTGTCCCATAACAACAATAACAACAAAAGTGATTATTTTAGAGCACCTCATTTATAATGTAGTAGTTTATAAATGAAATTTAAAATGGTATTAAGGATCTTGTAACACTATCCAAATTACACTCATATTTCTGCTTAGAAAGTCAGAATCTGCATAGTTCTAACCCATTAAATATAAAGCAGGGTAATAAAAATTGCTGCCTTTGTTAAAGATAATTTGTCTGTTTTTAGAGTCTACCAGCATTGGGCTGGTGCTAACAACTAATGTTATTTCAAAACACATTTTTGTTATGAAAGCTGTCATTGCTTCCATTTATCTGTCACCTTGTTAATCATGCTCTTCTTTAAAAAAGGAATAAAATGATGATGTATGTGACCCTGGCCTGACTTTTCTAGTTGTGATCAAGCCATAAGAGTGGCAATACATGATGTTACTTCAGCCTCCAGAAACATCTGCTGAGCACTTAATCTAACCATTTCCTGTCTGAATGGCAAGCATGAATTGTGGTTGTTTCATACTAAATTCTGCTTTCCCAGAATGGGTATTTACAATCAAGTCTCTAAGGTTTCCTTTTCCCCTAAGTTGGCAAAACTATGCATTTTTTAAAAGTCCCTCATGTTATCTTTGAATGGGACCTTAATGAAATACCCTGACTGATATGAAATATATGAAGTAAACAATTCCAGATGCAGTTATTATTCTGGACTAGAATAGAAATGATCCTACTGCAATAGTGATGTGGGATTCCAGGGCTTTTCGTCAATACAGTCCACTGATGAATACTTTTTGAGATCTTTCAGAAAGATGGAGAAGTTATTTCTTGTTCTGGGATTTCCAAAATGCATGAGGGAATAAAGCACAGGGTTTTAGAGTCCAGTACACCTGGTTTTGACTCCTTGCCCTACCATTTACAGCTCAGTGACCCTGGCAACTACTAAACGCTGTGAAGCCTATTTTCTTATCTGTAAAATGGAGATAATTATAGTACCTACCTTTGTCATAGAATTTTTTAAAGATTAAGTAAGACAATGCCTGTGAAGCACTTAGCCCTGTGCCTGGAGGTAGTAAGTGTTCAATTGCTGTTAGCTATCATTATTAAGGCTAACATCAGAGTGATCACAACAATGCTGCAGCCGTCCTTCAGCAGACTTCAGTTCACCTACCATGTGCAAAGCCCTGTGCTAAGTACTAGATGAAAAAGGGGACTAGGACTCATATCCTTTTGCCAAAGAGCTTAAAATCTGTTTAGGGAGAGAGACATGAGCAGATAAGCACAACACTGTTTGTACCGCTTGCATTCAGGGAAGTGACATTGTGGGCAGGGGCAGGAATTCAGCCTACTGAAGATCACAAACTCAGGCAGTAAAAAAGGGGAGAGGCTCTTCAGACAGGTAAAAGCACTTGCAAAATCAGAGTTATGGAATTGCATGGTGTGTGCACTAGACAGGTAAAAGCACTTGCAAAATCAGAGTTATGGAATTGCATGGTGTGTGCACTGCTCTACCAAAACTGTAATGTGGTTGTGGCTTAGCACACGAGGGAATGTGACTGGTGGTAGCCAGGGATCAGATTACACTGAAGCATTTACAAGCATGTGAGGATCATGGAAGGAATGCTCTACCAAAACTGTAATGTGGTTGTGGCTTAGCACACGAGGGAATGTGACTGGTGGTAGGCAGGGATCAGATTACACTGAAGCATTTACAAGCATGTGAGGATCATGGAAGGAGCATTCCAGAAGGATTTCAATCAGGGGAATGATGTGGTCACATTTTTTTTGATTGGGGGATGCAGGGGAAACATATGGGAGAAGAAGGCTAGAGGCAGGGAGCCCATCTAGCAAACTAGTTGTATAATCAATACTAGAAATGTCAGCCTGAACTATGAGATGGCAGGGGAGAATGAAAGAAAGAAAGAAAACTAATATTTAGGAGATGAAATTAAGTAGACATGGTAATCAAGGTAGCCCAGTGTCAAGTATGCCCCTATGATTTTGGATTGAGTGATTTGATGAATGAGTGTATCACTAAGCAATAAATCAATGCTGACACTCATTGAGCGCTTACTATGTATCAGATACTATGTTAAACGGTGTCGTATATTTTAAATTGTTAATTCTCAAGCAACCTTACAACGTGGAAACTAACTCACAGATACAGGAATGGAAGCTTAGAGAAATTAAGTACCCTGCTATGGAAAGATCCAGGATTTAAACCCAAGTAGCTCAACTCCAGTGTTCAGGCTCTTAACCACCATTTTGCCTTAGAGTTTATCCCATCCCAGGGCCACAGTTCTTCTCAACCCTAGAATGTAAGCTACTTGAATGCAGGGATTTCTGTCTGTTGCCTCACTTGCTGGATCCCTAGTGCTTAGAACAATGCTCAGCACATAAAAGGCACTTTATAATCTTTGTTGAACAAATGAAGTTCTTTTTACTCTATGCATTTTGACTATATAAATGAATTTAGGTTTAAACATCTGTAAGTATACCTGCGTCTCAGCTTCCTAGGTTGGGGAAAAGGAACTAATATCATTGCACCAAGGAGAGGCTTGCAGAAAAGTTCAGAAATTTTACCCATATACAAAATACTTTTTTCTTTTCTTTTTCTTCTTTTTTATTGAAGCATAAGTGATTATACATATTTGTGGGAAAGTCAACAAAGTTGACTATCAATCCAATAGTTCTGTACAACATGTGATGGTCAAATCAGGATAGTTAGCTTATTCATCATTACAGTACATAATCATTCTTTATGTCCATTGACGAATTGCTCATTAGTTTCTCATTAATCCCTCCTCCTTCCCTCCCCTCCCTCTTTCCTCTTCTAGTAACCATGGTATTGTTTTCTCCTTCTAAAAGTTCATCGTATCATGATTGTTCTTTCTCTTTCTTTCTTTATTATTTATCTATTTAGCCCCCACTTAGGACTGAGGGCATGCGGTATGTCTCTTTCTGCACCTGGGTTGTTTCACTTAACATGTAAGTAGAGATGTCAAGTAGGCCACTAGTGATACAAGATACATTTTGAGAGTTAATTATGTTATCGAATGTTTGAATGTTTTCTCCAAGCTCATCCATGCTGCTGTGAACAGCAGGATTTTAATCTTTTTTATGGGTGAGTAGTATTCCATTGTGTATACATATGACATTTCCCTTATCCAGTCATCCATAAATTTATTTATTTTATTTTATTTTTATTTTTTGATACTCAGGGCAATTATATATATTTATATATTTTCTTTTTTATTTCAAATATTCATGAGATATAAAGCTGATTATTCCCCCTCCTGCCCATGATGTGGGGGCCACATTCATATTGGGGGCATACTCATTACCAGAAATTGCTTTTGTACTCTTTGTCCCCTTCCAATTTTCCCCCAACCTCCCTCCCTTTTCCCCCTCCCCTCAACTCCAATTTGTAGCCCTAGGAATGTTCCCTCCCTCTGTTGGATCATGGGACTACTGTGGTCTTTCTTTCCTGCCTTGTGGTCTTTCTTTCCTGCCTTGTGGTCTTTCTTTCCTGCCTTGTGGTCTTTCTTTCCTGCCTTGTGGTCTTTCTTTCCTGCCTTCCTTTCTCTCTTAGCTCCCACATATGAGTGAGCACATGCGGTATTTATCCCTGTGCTTTGCTTGTTTCACTCAACGTAAGTTTCTCCAGGTTCATCCATGTTGTTGCATATGGTAGTATTTCATTCTTCTGCTTGCTCTACCCTGCTGCTCAAGCTCTCAGTCATGTTTTTTATTTCGTTGAGTGAGTCTTTCATTTCTAGAAGTTCTGCTACACTTTTTTATGGTATTAATCTCTTTGTAGATTTCCTCCTTCTTATTCTGGATGTTTTTTCTTGTTTCATTGTGTTCTCTAATTGAGTCTTCCTTTATTTCTTTAAGTTTTCTTAAGATCATTACTCTTTCATTGTGTTCTCTAATTGAGTCTTCCTTTATTTCTTCAAGTTTTCTTAAGATCATTACTCTAAATTCTTTTTCAGACATTTCAAGGATTCCCTGTTCCATGGAGTCTGACTTTGGGGCATTATTGTATCCTTTTGGTGGTGTCATTTCTTCTTTATTGTTTGTACTTCTAGTATATTTTTGCTGATGTTTGGTCATTTGGTCGGTGGTCTGCTTTCTTCTATTACGCTGAGGTTGGCTGTGGAGTGGCCTTGGTTGCTACTGCGGGTGGTGAATTGTCTTGCTTGACAGTAGGTGTGGTAGTGATTATGTTAAACCGACTTGGTTCCCGTTCTAGACTCTGTGGTGTAGAATGAGCCCCTAATGCATGGAGTTCTGGTGAGCCAAACTTGGTGGGCCAGATCCATAGGCTGGTGCTCCCCCCTGGGTCTGAGGCGGGATGAGGGCCCACGTGGAGCCACGTGGTTCTGCTGGCTGGCGGGCGGGCCCCGGCAGGCTCACCTGCACAGTGCCGGTTCGGGTTGGTGGGGCCAGGGCAATTATATTTAAAACACTGGTGGGCGCAGAGTCGCGTGGTCACCGACTGCAAGTGGTGGCGGCTCCAACCTTTCTAGGGGCCTTGAGAAGAGTGGAAGGGGGAGGGAGAAGAACTTTTGCTGTAGCAGCTTCGGCAACAGCTCCCACCCCTGCGCCTTTCTCCTCTTCCTCCTCATCCATAAATTTAAAGACCCTAAGTGGCTGTACCAGTTTACGGTCCCACAAACAGTTAGAAGGGTTTCCCTTTCTCCACATCCTCACCAGCATTTGTTATTCTCTGTCTTTTTGATAATAGCCAGTCTAACTGGTGTGAGGTGATATCTTGAAGTGGTTTTGATTTGCATTTCCCTGATGATTAGTGATTTTGAGCATTTTTTCATATACCTATTGGGCATTTGTATGTCCTCCTTTGAGAAATGTCTGTTCAGCTCCTTTGCCCATTTTTTAATTGGATTATTTGGTTTTTTCCTGTTAAGTTGTTTGAGTTCCTTGTATATTCCAGCTGTTAATCCCTTGTCAGTTGTATAGTTTGCAAATATTTTCTCTCACAGAACACTTTTTCCAAGCTACCCATTACCATTGAGAGAAATATTGTAAAGCTGGCCAAAGCATTGGGACTTCTGGAGAAGCAATGAATTCAAAGGCATACAGAGCCTCCTTTACTGAACACCAAGTAAACACCTAAAATGGCATTACAAGGTATTAATTTTGACCACATTCTCCAAAGTCATGGAGAAGGGATCACTACCCCCTTTGGATTTTGATATTAATTGTACTCTTTTCCTCTGGAAAAATAATTTGCTCTGCTAGAGCTCTTCCACGTATATTTTTTCTTCCTTCCTACCTTCTTTCCCTTCTTCTCTCTATTTCTATAATGTAATAAGCACTGTGAACCACTCTCCAATATGAAAACTAAGCCTTTGTCATTAACTT